TTTGGCATCAAATTTATAAAAGATTGCACTGTCTTCAATTTGCGACGAAAATGTCTAATACGCCGTCATCGACCGAGAAAGACCACAGAAACATGACACCACCACCCTCATTTACAAGTCCCGTCTATACTATTAGTTCATAATTAAATGGATTTAGCCATTTAGCTACAGAAATACCGTTATCTGAATAATGGAACAATTTAACCGTCAGGTTGTCTGCTTTCATTTCAATTGTCTTCTGCACGTGATTAACACGCAGCGTGACACCTTCATATTGGATGACTTGGATATCCAGTTAGCGTATCTCATTGATTTAATTCGTCTGGATAATAGAGTGTCAACGTCGCCTGTTAAAACCGTGTAGGTGTAATTTTGGAGAGATAGATAGAAAATGGCGACAATGTTGTTGTAACAGACGTAGAATATGATGAGGTGGAGGAAAGGTTGACGTATTATAATCGGCCAAGATTCCACCGTATTTAAAAGTGTCGTCTGGTTATGACAACGTGCTCATCTACCCGCCAAAATGACGAAAACAGGACAATAGCGTTCATCAAAATTATGACGTTCAAGAAACATGCACACGAAAGCAAAGTGTCCTTGAATTTGAACAAATGATGCTTGTTTGTTCTTGAACAACCGTATGTATTACTGCAACGGTAAATCATCCAGATGTCGCTTTGGCTAATTTCAAACTAATTTATTAACGGTATCTAAACTTTCGGTGTGGCCTAATAGACGTACTTTTATTGCCAAATGAAATTCTTTTTATTCTCAACATGATAAAAGTCAATCTATATTTCTGGTTTTAAACATAGTTCACCCCATTTAATTTTGTCATAGATACATTTACTTTGGCATTAGATTAAACTATTAAGCTCATTCCCCCCAAAAAAGGAAAAACAGGTGTGGTTTTTTTTTAAAGATACATCTTAACTACACTTTAATCGAAAATTTATTCAACATACACATTAAGGTAACTCTACGTTTTATTAGAATTCCAGACATTGTTTGTCTAGATTTCTTCACACCTTACAACAAAGGTTGTCTAATTCAAGTTAACACTAATTAAAGCTTTAAAATATCTGTAAATCTTTCTTGTGTCATTTCGAACTCTTTACCCCCATTCCTCCCGCAACTCACGTGCACTTTGTTGCAGTGCGTACACACAAAATGCAACGTCAGTTGTTGACGTTTAACACATTTTTCTACTTTTGTTTTCCTTTTACATCTTCTGACTAAATAGCTGGGATTTTTAACATCTACCTGGATAACCCTATTTACATTACACCGACAAATAGTCTTGATCAAAAGATGCTTAGCACATAAACATGCTTAAATCAAATAAACAATCCTAACAGTAGAATTATCTTGTCTGGCTAAAGAAAAAAGCACCGAAACAAAGGAAAGTGGAACACAACGAACCTAAGGTCGCTTTGAGTTTGAGTCAAAATCATGCATACTGTCTTGGAAACCTTTACCTTACCATGCCCTCACATCTTCTCAATTTTCAAGACTGTGATTTTTTTAAATGATTGTAAACTTCCTTTTTCCTTTTACAAAAACATCTAGTACTTAAATCCAATAGTAAAATAGTAGAATGCTCATATTTACAAAACTAAACATAACAAATTAACTTTAAATGGCCAGTAGTAAAATTATCTTTCGAGAATGTTTAGGATTTTTTTTTTTGCTAATCCGAAAAACAAAAAAATCGATGATCTCTTCATTTTCCTATAATACTGTATCCGTTGTATATCTGTCTTCGAGTACCGTAGCACTTGCTGTTAAGATTATGGATTGCGCAAACTTTTAAAGGCTCAATACCACTCTTGTTGTAACTGAATAATATGTCCCAATCTTTATTCTGGTCAACAAATTGTACTATTTTACAATATTCCAATTAATTGGTGATACAAATTTCATCTTAATACATCTAATTTAAAAAATTGGACAAATTCAACTAAATGATTTGAAAAGCCTGACGTAAAGCTTTTCAAATGTGACTTGGATTTAAAAATATTTTTGAACCCTTTGGACAAGTAAAATAGGATTTAATGGATAATTTACACAACAGGTTGGACACTAACACATCTAGTACTTAGAATAAGGCTATTTTTTATTTTCTGGAGCTGTCAAGCCAGCAGGAGTGTTATTGTCCCTTTAAACCATTAATTGTAAATTAATTCAGACAGTTATTTTAACGATATAAAATAAATTAAAGACGCAGTATGTAAGATTTAGATAAAGAGTTCGTGGTTCTTGCTATAGTACTTCAAAACTAGATGAATATATTAATGAAAATTTCAGTCAAATTCTGAGAGAAGTTATGAGTGTAGGAGTTTTTACAAGAAATATCGGAGATTGACTTAATATATTAAATGGTTTCCCTATAGATTATGATTAATAAACTGTTACTTGTTTTTGTATACAAACCTTCTGTACATTATTTTCATTATCATTTGCTTGAAAACGTTGAGAGAACCCTCAACAAAACGCCGCTTTAATTAAATTAGTAATTGTGTTCCATATTATGTTTTTGTCTGTATTAAGAAATATCCGATTATCAAGTCTAACTAGACCAATCAAATTGAAGTCCCGAAAATGGCCACCATTAAATGTAGTTATGGTGTTAATGTAGTGAAACTATACAGGACGTGTCATCATTATCAAACAGATAGAACCAAATTTATCGAACTCGAACGTCTTGAACAATCAAATTACTTATCACTCTGCTAAACATGGGCATAAATTGCACAATATCGAACTTGGTGAAGGTATTGATGTAATGAAACTATACATCAAGTTTCACCACTCTCACTCAAAATAGTTATCGTGTCCCAAGCATCGACCAGTCAAATTGCTAAACCTAAGCCGAAAATACTCATTAGCTCAAAAGGTGTGATGGACGGACGGACTAGCCCGACAGACAGGCAATGTAATAGGTAAATTTATTGTATTTTAAATAATTATTTAGTAAAATACAAATATAGTTTGAGGAATGAATAAGAAAGGTGAGAGAGAGAGAGAGAGAGAGAGAGGGAGCGAGCTTAACGTCCACTCAACACAAACTAAGTCATTTCGGGACTAACATTTATGGTTCAATTTGCGCGTAGGGGTCTTTAGCAGTGGGAGGAAACCGCAGGACCCGGAGAAAACCCACGAGGTTGGACAGCCGACTCTACTCCTTGTCACGTACAACCGGGGAATCGAAACCACGCCAGTTGACTCAATGGCAGACCTTATGATACAGTAGCAATAACAGTTAGACCGTTGAAAGTAATCATGTAGTAAAATGCAACATATTAAAATAGGTATAAGTTATATCGCGTAAGCAATAAAATGGAAAGTAATGGATAGGATACAGTAAAAGGTATGTTCAAGTTCTCAATCAGGCTCTATATATATACTTCATGCCGTAAATCAGATAAAGTTGACAGTGCCATTTAACCGTTTATTTATGATTTTCTCTACCACTGTTCAAATCGGATAAAATTTGGATTATGTCGGCTAAGCTGTTCACGGACCATACAACATATTGTTATCAGAAAAATCCAGATAATTCTTGATAAAACGAAATATAACATCTGGCGGGACATTGTCCAAGTAGGCCTACAATGAATATAAACATATTGATAAATCCTAGATTTATTCTAAATTGAATGCATAAGCACTGGCAAGCAGAGTATTCATGTCTTATTTCAGATTACATGCATAATACAAATATTAAAGGGTGGTATAAAACTGATTAATTGTTTGTAATTTGTGAAAAGATCTCAACAGTTATTGACCTTGTCATGTAAAACAATTGGAGAAAAAAAAACACTACTAAACTGCATTTTGGCAAAAAAGTTCTATGTTTGCGCCTGGATAAATAGATCTATAAGTTTGCCAACATTTAGACTAAAAAATAACGTCAGACTTGATCCCCAAACACTATTCCGTCTTCAATACAAACAAATCAGAAAGGAGGGACGTATTAGAACATGTTATCCAGTCTAGTCAAAGTTAAGAAAGGTAATTTGTTATGGCGTTTATCTAGTCACAAAATTAAATAATAGAGTGGAACTGCTTACTCGGTTACGTAAGATGGTTATAAACATCTATAAATCTGTTCCGAACTTTACAATAATTTGTAATGGCAAGTAAGCTATTCTTTATATACATTCTGGAGATGGAATGCATAAATCTGTATCACAGCGGCAATGCGAAAGCCTTCTTTTAACTCTGTAGAAGATGACTGACTTTTAAAGTCACGTTTAGTATAGTTCTACGTGTGACGTCACATCATATTTGCATCGATAACACTTGCGTTGTAATACAAACTGATCCCGACAGAATTGGTGCCATTTACTCACTTGACGTCACCGCACACTATGTTATGTACCAATTTGCACAAAACAGGAAATATTTCTTATCCATATTTTTAACATCTTTATTTATTTTTCTGATATTTTTAAAAAAATGTTTTAGAATTTAATTTGCTGGAAAATCAAATATAGAAAGCTAAATAACTCGCCCGATGTCATCTCTATCAGTAATATTGGCGGCCAATCGATTATTTACTGCTGAGCAGTTTGGATTTGCATATTAAATCTATATATAATACATAGCCTTATGTCCAGTAAAATCCATGTTCCTGAAGCAACGGCAAGGAGTTTTACAACATCGTGTGAGATAAGATGTACGGAGTTAAAGCGAGGTAAAGCCTTCTACTGAAGATGAGTAAAATCTAGAACTGCTACGTTTAAAGAAGAAAAAAAATGAAATGCCATTCATCTTGTCCTTACCCATGACATATTACGTATCACATATTTATTTAAGATAAATAAAATTATGTTGCAAGGAAATAATCCTTTCTTTGAAATATATCAATATTCACATTCAGAATGAATAGAATTGCTTTTTATTGTTTCAGAATTCTATAAAGACATTACTGTAAAATTTATGTTCCTTTGAAGCCATTGGTGGTTATCTTGAGTTTTAAAAAATATACATACCTTCTGCTAGCCAGGTCTCTTGCATACGACTTAAATCTTGAAACAACTCTGAAAGATAAATTATATATTTCGATATAATCTTGTAGAAATAGCCCAAAAGACAGAATAAATACACGACAGTTTTTAGAATACTGGTATCAAAGGACAACATGCAAAATAAAATAAATAACACATATGAAATGACAGATTATTTGGTTTTCTCAACACTGCGGATTTTGTTTCAATATTATGAGGGATTTGTTTCAATATTAATTTTGCGTATTCCTTATTTGGATATTACAACAATGTATTTCCATTGTATTTGGTTTGCCTTTAATAGGGCCTATACAAAAGTTGGTGTGTTTTGTAAATTGTATACGTTTTTAAAGGCACACCTGGGTTGATTTATTCAGTAATTAGGCTTTTTTCTGGTTAAAGTTGATTTCAAATGCATTTTAAAACTTAAATATGTTAAATCGGTATACTCCTTACTTTGGCAGAGAAAAAAAAATAAAATAGTTTCTGAAAGCTTGTCTTTAAAGAAATGAAAGAATTACAAGTATTGATTTTAGAGAAAGAAAATTACAATTTCAAAGAATTCACATAGTTTCTGCGTGCGTTTAACAAGTTTCACATACATAGTCACGCCCTCCAATAAGGCAGAAGATTGGGAAATTGAAAATGAAAAAGAAAAAAAAAATTATTAATCTGAAATAAATAAAATATACAGTGTGAAACCATAATACGTGTTGTCCTACCGTGTCTGTGTATGTTTGTTTTTTTTTAAATATTTATTGATTTCAATTATATAAACATTGATAATAATAATAACCTTAGTTTAGATTATGTATGCGTTGGTTTATTTAGTATATTTATTAATGCCAACTATAAGTGTTTAAATTATATATAGGTTTGTTTATCCTTATATCCATGTATAGACTCTTTTATACACCCTATGAAATTTATTAAGCTTAACATTTCTAACAATGTAAAAATATTCCTTTCTCACCAAAAATCTAATTTGTATTAACAACTTAGTAGGTAACTGAACGTTTCCAAGGATATCTGTTTTCTAGACTGCTTAACATCGTATGTGTCCAGTAAAAAAGAGAAAAGCCTTTATATGATTTCAGCAGGTAATATTCTCAATAAATCATTAATAACTAAAAGAGTAATGTCTTCAAAGAGAAGATTGCGTGATCAAATCTCTTACGTTTATTGTATCAAGACCACCGTGGATGTGATTGATATGAAATTTGTAAAAACCTGCCCAGAAAAAAAAATCCATAAAGAGAAGGTCTTGTACAGCCCCGAAGTACATAATAAGAATGAAAACGAGATTACTGCAATGACACGCTTTCTATCATTAATTGACGACCATCTAGACTACACCCGGGCAAAGGTATAAAATTCAGTTTCCTGTACACAGAATCTAAACCCTTCAATCTGGCTCTTCGTATAGATTACATCCCCGAACCCCCTTTTTATATCGTATCTAGCAAATGACATGTGAATATACCTTTGTTCAGCTGAAACAAACTATGCGTAACCTTTTCCGTATCCCTCCCTCCATATCTGGGAGCGGTTAGTCAAAGAAACGGCCTGTTACGGCGAGTGTTTGGCGTGAGGTGCGCGGAACTATGGCGGATTGGTTAATCAAATGTCTGACGTTATAGGGTCAAAAGCCTCTCGCATGGCCTCTGACGCGACCTTCTAATACAACCGGTCAGATCTGCATGCAGTGTAGGCCATCGAAAGTATAAAAAACGAAGCGAACTATTGATCTGTATTTTAATTAGATTGGATATCTGATTGAAAGGATTGAATTTATTAGTCCATATTTTAACCGTTCTTCTTAAATTGCAAGATTATGAGACAATCGCTAATGAGCATTTTAGCTGATTAATCCCTCAGAAAGACACCTTTTAATGCAATTTACCTTTTCACTCTAATATGTTTGTCGCGTGCGATACTGATTAGCTAGCGCTCCGCCAGTGCTACATGTTAAACGATTCGACAAGTGTGACATATTAATAACTATTCTCTGATTGGTTTATTAAATCCCCATGTGACAATATGGGATTTTGCAGCTATAAATTTATATAACAAGAATTAAATCTCGTCATGTCCCACGAGACTAAGACGCACAAAACACTCGTATTATTAATAACGACGTTGTTCGTTTTACTCTGATTTAAAAAATATCATGTAATTTGATTTTATTCCTACTATTTACAATAGTCGTACAAACCGGGTATCTCTCTAATGTGAACTTGCAAGTTATTTTTGTACACACATAACACGAACAATAACAACAACGCAAGGCTTTCTTGAAGTGATGTGTTGATTGTAGATAATTCAACCTAGACCCTGCTGTTATCGTACAAAGACCATTCTCAGAAATCCAACGCGTTTCCAAGAATGACTTCACAGCAGTCTAATTGTATGTTACCCACTAAATATATGGTAACTTTGTCCCCCAGATTAGGGTCCGTGGTTAAATTACGGAATTCGCCATTTTTTAATTCACTCACTAATACTTATTTTAAAAATCGAGGCTTTGCCAGTATGTGTATGACATACTAAATTATAACGGTAAATATTGAATCACTGTTTGCTGACCTAATTCCAACTCAACAGCTATACAGGTGATATATACATGTCAATGGTTATCATTAAGTGGGGAGCGTGCTGGAAAAATATAATTATTATTATTCACTGTTTATCGGAACTTTCGGCCGGGGGTTTATTTAATGACAATTTACATTTAACTAATAACAATACTCTTTTTTAAAAAATAAATATACCTGGGATTCGTGGTGATAAAGGCCGCAAAATTCTGAGTTTCATTTTGGCGAAATGCTGACATGGAGTTTTATTAAGATTGATAAATTTCACCGATAATGTTTTTATAAATGTAATAACATTTTTTGTCTAGAAAACAATTTGGTATGTACCGAAAAGGGGGGTTGGATGGCTTAGTGGTTAGCACGTGCGCGCTGTATCATTAAGTCTGTCATTGAGTCAACTGGCGTGGTTTCGAATCCCAGGGTGTACGTGACAAGGAGTAGGGTAGCCTGTCCAATATCGTGGGTTTTCTCCGGGTCCTCCGGTTTCCTCCCACTGCTAAAGACCCCATTTCTCTCTCTCTCCCTCCGAAAAAACAACACCAGCAATACTTGAAAGCTTCAATATACACAATTATCATTGAAAAAAGCCCAAATTAACCCCATCTATGGGGGGCTATGTCGGTAATGTCATCATCCAAAGAGAGCACAATTGAGATAATATTATGTCCAAACTGAGCATGAAATAAGCAATTTGATTTGTCGATACTTTGGAACACGATAACTGTGATTCTAATTTAAGTGCAATTGCTATAAATAAATTGTGTATATTTTCATTACACCATTACCGTCACAAAGTTCGATATTGAGAATTTTTGCCTAGGTGCGAGATAAGTAATTTAATTGGTCGACACTTTGAAACAAGATAACTTTGCTACCTATTGAGAGAGATTGATGTATATTAGTGTGTAGTCTCGTTACATTAATATAATTGCCCGTGTTCATTATCCCGGTTGGTGAAGAAAAGTAGGACGTTAAACCCCATTTTATCTATTCATTTTGATTATAACTGAGCGAGTCACGAAGCTACCTAAGATAATTAGAATTTTCTGCTGGGTGATAAGTTATTTGATTGCACGATTGATTGCTTTATAAAAAGATAGATGTGCAAGTGATTAATAAATGACATCTATCTATTTTGGGATTAAAATGAGGGTCATTGCAGCTTCCACATCGGCATGTATTTATTTTCTTTGGACATCCTTATACCATGTCAGTGAATTTTTGTCTAATCTGCGCAAGGACCAACTGTCAAACTCTGTCCTGCCATATGACTTGAGGCACCTCGACGTTACCCATGGTAATTAGGTAAAAGACTGGCCCATGGGATTCGAGATAGTAGTTATCCATATAAGGCACAACGGTTATCAGTTTTTAATAACAAATATGGCGGAGCTAATATTAACAGGAAAGTCGTCCTACGCTATCATTGATCACTGTTTCAAATATTTAATGATTCTTCTGTACATTTTTCATCTGAAAAGTCATGTCCACGAACTAACTAACAACCTTTCAGTGCAGTAGGATAATAATTTTAATGGCATTGAAATAGCATGTTGTTATAATGACAATGATCCCCCCTCTTACGACATTTCCAATCTGAAAACACTAAGCCCAAACAATTCAGAAATAAATGTATACAAATGTTTTATAACAAATTTCCTCAATGGATATGGTGGTTTTCTGCCAAGCCAGCCATGTTTGTTCACAGAGTTTAGGTGATTGAAAACAGCGATACTGGTTTTATATGGTATATAATATAGCTTATCAGACCGTCGATATACAGTGAAAAAACAAACCTAACAACTAAACTATGAAAGATCATATAGACAGAGCCTTGTTTCAAGGTCAACAGCGATTGTTTGACGTGATTTAGAAGATGTACGAAAAGCACAACCAGTGACGCCCACGGCTATACTGTGTACCAAAAGCGTGAAGATTTATTTATATTTTTAGTCCGAAATAAAACAATAATAAATCCCAAAGCATCAAGAGCAACCACATTCCAGGCGCCCGTGTTCCAAACGCTACAAATCCTTAACGTAGGACAGATGAGTCGCGTGTTTCCATTGGTCAACGTTAACACGTGCTTGTCGCCATATTTATAAATGTGGTGCATACAAATTTACTCCTTAAGATTAAACGGATAAATCACGTCTAATTTCTTTTATAATGCGAAACGAAAGAGTTTGGTTGGTGTGGAGCCAATATTGAATTTATTGACATGATAAAAGTAAACAGGGGTGACCTGCGCGCTTTCTCTAAATAAACAAATCGACGGTTAATCTAAATTTGGCGAGGGAGAAACAAATAGGAAAAGAAAGAAAATAAACAAATAATAAGAGAAAGAATTTCAACCGTTAAAATCGATTTCGTCCCTTGTCAATAGATTTCATCTCGAATCCGGATTTTGCACCAAACCGCTATAAAACTCTAATCAGCCTATAATTACATTTCCGGTCCCAATTTCAACAAAGATCACAATCTGGAGGAGAGGTAGGAGTTTATGGATTTTTTTTGATTTTTGCAATAAGATTATGAATGCGACAAGTGCTAAAATATACAAATAAAGTACATATTTGTAAAATTGTCTACACTAAAAGAAAAGGGTGGTAGAAAATCCTGTATATATTATGTTTGTTTCATGCGAGATAAATATTATTTCAATGTAGTCTAACTTTCAATGAAATGTTCAAACTTGCCATACAGGTCTAAATCGAATAATATCTACATGTATAAATATTAAAAAAAAAGGGATTTCGGGCAGAAGTTGGACCAACTGTTGTTATTTTATATCAGGTATTCTGACAACTCTGATAAATCCGTCTCAATCTTTTCCCTTATTTCAAGAACATATATGCTACCAGAAAAGATAAATTTCTGGCAAGAATGTTACTTTACCGTGTCACGATATCAAGAAAAGTTCTAGTTTCTTACAAAATTGTCCGATATTTCTACATTTTAGAGTTATTTGATTGCATCGATTTCTTTTATGTATCGGAGACTACCTGTTCCGCCCACGGAGAACGTGCACCATAATTCATTGCAGGATCCCATCCCTTGGAAATTATGGCAACTTGAGAAATTATGGATTTATGTGATCAGTTCTAAATCTGTTGTTAAAATTAGTCCTTCAATACCCTAACCAGTTTGGAGAAATACCCTAAGCAGAATGTCCAGGCTTATGACTGACTTGACGTTTCTTATGTAAAGTTTCCTGATTATCCAGACAGTGTAAGTATTGGACATGTGATATTGTGATATTGTGATAGTGAAGTGCACTTCACGTGGTGTTATTGTTGATTAGTGTATAAATTATTCATGGCGAGGTGAAGAGTAGATTGTCGACTATTCCTAGATTCAAATCAATAGACTCTGTGAACTTTCAAAACTAGAGAGTGCCGAAAGCGAGTACCGAATGAATACAACATGATACGGGACAAGGCTGGGCAGGGTAGAATACTAGCATCGGGGATGAATAATAATGCAAGGCGATTATTGTAAAATGCCCTACTGTAGAGGATTTCCTACCGTCCATGTCATTTAGATACTGGATTATCGAAACCTAAACCTTGTTGTATGGTACGCCCTTATGGTTATCGTTCCCCTATTATGTGATTTTTTGGGGCAAAAAAATGTTTTTCTGTTCTGTTCTGTTCTTCCTATTTTTCAGAATTTTCGATTTTCTCTTTTTCTAAATATTTACTATCGAACATGTTGGTATTAAAAAAAATACCCTCTGGTGTGTAATAAAGAAGAATGGTAACACGCTTTTCTGTTGACATTTTCACTCGCGATATTTTTACAATTCCTCGACATCTTGAAACTGTCCAAAATTAAAGGTGGGGCGGGGGAGTGGTAAGGCAGCAAGGGGGAGACAACTCTGTCAACTGTCCGAATGAATCTGTATTCGAAAAGTTTTATACTAATGAAAAATATTTGGCACAGGAGCAACTTCATTAATTCACCCATATTCTTAGAATAAATAAATTTTTACCTTTTCTTCGACGTTTTCCATGCGCCAAATATTGGCGCAAGATAAACTGGATGAAATTCGCACATATTCCTGGAATAAATATATTTTTATCCTTTCTTCGACGTTTCCCAGTTTTTATTTGTGCGCCAAATAATTTTCAATACTTGCTTCGTATTTTTTATTCGTAATACCCGTACCTTTTCGAATTACAGACGTTCGAAACAGTTGACAGAATTGTCGCGACTCGGGAGGATTACCACTTCCGTTAATTCTACTGGGCAGGTTCAAAATATCGAGGAATGTAATAAAATCGTAATCAAAGCTGGAGTGATTTTATCGTAAATAATCGGACTAAGCATTGTTTTAAAAAAAATTAAATATTTGTTCTCTTACATTGAAAGGAATATATATCGAGTCGCTGATTTGAAAGCTATTTACGACCTTAAAGTAAATAGTGTCTTACCAGTCTCCTTTATTTTACACTAGTGGGTATTTCTTTTTTAATATGAAATGAAATGAAATGAAATGAAATGGAGTTTAACGTCCTACTGTTCTGCTCCTAACCTGGGCTAATGAAGACGGGCATACGCCATACAGTGTGCTATGAGGGAAATTTTGCCCGGACAGCGGCACTACGGCCTTCTCTTATATCGAATTCCAACTGTCAAGGGATCTTTTACGTGCACGCCAATGTGTACACGGGACCTCGGTTTTTCGTCCCATCCGAACGACTAGACAGCTTTCCTTGTCAGCCCCTCCGTCCTACATCACTGACAAGGGAGAACCACGCAGGAAAATCTGGATGAACTTTCTCGGCCAATGCAGGAATTGCGAGCTAGCGTCTTACCCACTTAGCCACGTGATCCCCTTTTTTAATATGAACATGATTGATAGTAAATATGACATGATTTAGGACCAAATAGGAAGCAAAATGAATAATAATAAAAAACAACAATGAAAGTAAAATATTTTTAAAAATTGGAAGATCAAAACAGAAAAGCACATTTTGAAAAATCTCATAGGGGCACCATAAGGGCGTTCCCGACCCTATGTAGCTGTGACAAATTCTAAACAATTGTTTAATATATTATGATGCTTTACTTACTTTATTTACTTAACTAAGGCCATTATAGATATGCGTACATTTAGTCCTATTGTACGTCAAGCATAAGAGCGTCTATTTTATCACCCCCCTGTTAAAGGGAAATGTTACCACCCCTGAGAGGTATATGCTTTTAAGACCTAAGAATATATATAATAGTATTTTTGTAGAAAGTTAATGAAACATAAACTGTATCGGTATAGATGTAAAGTGAAGATCTTATTTGGATTTTCCGTATTTTATGTCAAAATATGTAATTTTGGAAAACATCTTGCGTTTTTATTTAAAATATATTTTATTTTTTCACCTTAGTTTTCAATAAGTTTACAATGGATATCGAAATGCTTGATGTGGGAATGCACTTCTGATTTATCGCTGTACAATCTATGTAAATTTATCTTTCTAAAAATGTCAAGAATGTTACTTTATGAGGATAAACAATTTCTTGGTGTGTTTCAAACACACAAATAACATCTCTTCCAAGAAGTCGTGGAGAGCATTATATTATCAAAATATATAAGGAATAATATTAGTTCATTCTCTGAGCAGACTATTGTAAACATGTTTACTAGTTCTGTGAAACTATTTGAAGCTCTATTATACTATTTCCAAGAACTACAAAACTTTCATCTTCGACGTGGGGTTGGTCATATAGTTCACATTGTGTAAGTTCCTGGATAACCTTACAATATGCTGACCGACAGTATAGTGGTCACGATTCACAAATCACTTGTTTGGAATTCCTTAAATGAGTTTCGTAATCTCGCTAAGCAACTCTATTGATCATTTCCGACTAAGTCAAACTTTGATTGAAATTGTTTTCAGGCCAAGTAAATTGACCATTTCGTCACACTTTGGCGTTTCATTTATATATTATAATCAATTTTTGTTTAGTTGCCCTGTGAAATCTGGCACCGTCCCTTTGAATTAATTTTATATACATGTTATTTCCGAAATGAGAAGTACTTGAAATTAGCGAATACTTCAGTTTGTTTAATGTACATGTCAGCTCTAGTACTCGTATTCAGCGGAAATCTAATACCATTCTCAACACTAAGCAAAATGGCGAGAAAAAAGATGTTTGTAATTAACTGGAGTAAAACAGAAGTCGATCGATGACGTTAGATTGAATAAAATGATGTGCTGACCTTCCGAATCTTGTATCAGTTCTGAGGCAGGTCGTTTCCGCTTCCTCGGTTCCGGCATGCCCTGCGTCCCAGTCTTTTCCACTTCCGACGATTTCATTGATAGCCTATAAATAGAAAATAATTGTAGTAAATATAGTAGGCTACCAGCCCAGAATGGTGGGTGGAAATAAATAGAACACTGACATTCTAATTTTTTGTATTAAAACAAAGCAAAAACAACCTAATCTTTGGAGATCATGTGCTAACTATCTAATTATTTAACTGCCTTTTTTTGGTTATTTTTTACAGTGTAGATAGGCTACATTTTATTTCCAATTTTCTTTAAAAATTCTTCTTTAGTATATGAAAAATGTGTTTCTTTGATATTGTTCCTATGGAGACATGACATCGGAAGTTTATCACAAGGACAATAGCCTAACAGAATTATGTTATAATTTGTCTATCGTTTCAATCATGGGTATTTGAAAAATGGATCGTCTTGGATATTTTCCACCTCAAATTTCGGGGAATGGTATATGAAGATGTGTTATAAATATTCATTTTTCGATCATTTCAATCATAGCTAGTCATATTTACACTCATATTTATCTACATTTCGTTTCGTTTTTTCATACTTTCGATGACCTGCACTACATGAAGATATGACAGGTTGTAGTGGAGTCATATGAGCAGCTGTTGACCCTATGATGTCAGACATTTGATTAACCAATCAGCGTTGATGTTTCTCGTGGGATACCCACAGTTCCGTTTACCACACGCCACGAACTCGCTGTAACAGATCGTTTTATTGGCTAATCCCGCACATCAACCAGTACGCGGGTTATATAACAACTCTTCCAGATCCTAGTAGTAAAGACAAGTAAAAAGACAACTTTGAACTATAAAAAACGAAAGGAAATAGGATCTATGTTTTAATCAGATTGACTCGCTTTACATCCTGGGAAATTGTTCGGTATCCGATAAAAAGTACGTATTTTCTAAAGGTGAAAAGGTATTCATCTTCTGTACTCACCAGAAAGAGACCATTTTTAATAAATATTTATTCGTTTAATTAGTTACTAACATTTTTAACACTTGTGGGTAAAAAGGAGAACACTTGAATTCTTTCTTTTTTAGGGTACCGGGTAGACATGAATGAACCAGTCTCGAATTATAATGAACATGCGATACTTTCCTCGCCATATCTACATATATAAAATTTATTCAGAAGTTAATCAACCACGGGATTAATTTCATTTACAATATTTGACATTTAAAATGTTTGAAGCCGCAAGAATGAAACGTCTACATGATGATGACCTAGTCAAACAATCCGTCTCCCTTGCGCATAATAGTTTGGAAGCTACATGGACAGACAATCTCTGTGCTATTGGTAATTTATGCAAACAGTCAACTACGAATTATGTACTGTATACCGTATTTAGCAAATGGTGTCATGTATACTATCTGAAATGAAATGGGGTTTAACGTCCTACTGTTCTGCTCCTAACCTGGGCTAATGAAGACGGTCATACGCCATACAGTGTGCTATGAGGGAATTTTGCCCGGGCAGCGGCGCTACGGCCTACTCTTATATCGAATTCCAACTGCCAAGGGATCTTTTACGTGCACGCCAATAAGTACACGGCACCTCGGTTTTTCGTCCCATCCGAACGACTAGACAGCTGTCCTTGTCAGGCCCTCAATCCTGCATCACTGACAAGGGGGAACCACGCCGGAAAATCTGGATAAACTTTCTCGGCCAATGCAGGGATCGAACACCCGACCTCCAGGCTAGCAAGCCAGCGTCTTACCCAACTGATCCCCGTATGCTATCTGATTATAGTGCACATAAACTGAGTTTAATCACAACCTACCAGAAGCTTCTCTTATTTACTCAAAATAGCAAGAGACTGAAAGGTTGTACGTTCAGATCTAGATATATACCAATTTTTGGACGTTTGAAATACAATTGATGGTTGTTGAATGGACACACAAAAATTATTCACAAGAATATCTGATATGTTCACAAAATTAGTCTAGAATAATATCCCCTGATTATCATATCGCTTGCTGTAAACAAATGCAATGTTGGTTGTCAACTAATTTCAGAACTTGAGTGGAGAAATATAGGTATTTTTGGGATACTGCAAGCTGTAGGTGACAATAATATAGAATCTGTTTACATCCTGTAATAATTGGGTGTAGTTTGCTTTATGAATTAATAACAATAATTGCTACTCGCATACGCTATATACAGATGGCCGACGAATTGTATACCTTAATGACACATAGCCTCCGTCAACATCAACAGGGATAATTGCTTAAAACCGAATTATTCTTAAAAAGGAAAACGACTACTTCAAAATGAGGATTCGTTATTTTTTTTTAATATCTAGCTCATGTCGCACAATAGAGACACAAAGCACACTTAATGTGACTTCTCCCAAGTTGAACAAACATTTTCACCAAACAATCTTCCATTTTATTTAAACAACAAATGCATAAAAAATAACATGTTCTCAAAATATCAAAATATTCGAACCAAACCGCAAAACTTGTGTATATCACGTGACATACATTTTCAAGTTCAAGGGGGGCAATCGAAAATCAATTAGAAAATAAACATATATAAGACGGCCTCGTTCTCAAGTATTTTGTGAGTTTAAAGAAGGAATAAAAAGTGTAGATTTGGACTGAGAATGAAATAACCAAGCTACTGTAAATATTGATTTAAATAACAAAACCGAGAAGATGGTTCACATTAAATAACTTCGTTTCACTCTACAAACAAATCACAGGTCCATGGCCGATAAATACTCATCATTTCAACGTCCTTTGAGGCAGACGACAGCCGACGCCATCTTTGAATAAACGTATTTCTGGTGAAAAGCGCGCGGAATGTAGCAGACGACCGAGATTACCGTGGGATATCATAAAAATGGTGAATAAAATCATTAAAAGTCCATTTTGGAGTTTGCTCTAATCCTAGTTGACCCCATGTCATAGTTATCATACCGAAGAGGAGATTGAGATTGACGTATTAACTACCATCTTTAACTTTTGACACTCGCACAGTGAGCGCCATTTTGTAAAAGGACAGCATTACGCACTGTATCTAAAATGTAAAGCTAATCCTAGCCGCGCACTCCGAACGAATGCCGTTTAATGCGACGAACTGATCAAGGCTAAAAATTTGGCTACTGTTCTGGAAATACCTCACCACAGGAAATGTTGTAATAGCCTACCCACTCAGCAAGAAAATGAAATTACATTAGACTATTTCCGCCCTGCAAGCAACTGAATGTTTGAAATTTCAGATCTCTCTGCAAATTGTAACTACTCTGTATATCCACATTTGGTTGGTTTAAGTGTCATTTATTTAAAGTTCCTCGCCAATACAGTGCCCTCCAATTAAAAATAAGCCTGTAAATTCGAGCTATGTCCTTGGACCAATTCAAGTTTCAGAGTTACGATCGCCCACCAGTAGAGCAAGAAGACTGAAAACATCAACTGTTACAAACCTTAGGTTAATGTGATTCGTTAGGATTATGGAATGACTCTCTCACCCAAATCTATGCACTAACATGCACGTAAAAGCAAGTTAGGAAGTTGGAAATCGAAGCTGGCTCAAACCCAAGAAATATTGTGTTAACGAGGTGCTTCCTATGTTTGAATGATTTTACCAATAGTAACTATAAGTAGCTACGGGTTCGTACACGAGGCATGATGTAGCCTACTTGCTCTTCCTAGAACACCCGATACCACCCGTTATTTAAAGAGTTCGCAAAGATAACAAATATTTGTTTTTTCGCATTATAAATATTTATTAGTACAGGTGGTATAACGACAAGTCATAGATCATAATCCGAGTGATAAAAGGGATCAGTTACTGAAATGATTTAAAAATATATTTCCACGATACTGGCGATCCTAATCAGATAGCCATCGAGACGACTAGTCGGGAGAAAGTTAACCACTATTTCATTTCTATCAATTTATGTCGATTGTACATAAATTAGGTTGTTTGCGAAAAACGCCCCCCCCCCCCGCCCCTCCATCCCGACCAATAACAGAACACGATGAGTAGCATGTAGGGACAAGTTGCTAGTCCAAAAATAAGTTTAAATGTGGTCTAATAGATTATTAAGCTGTGTTCACGATATGAATTGGCGCATCGACCGTAGGTCTTTTGCGAAGAATGTCGCCCCCCCCCCTTCCCCAAGTGCCACAATAGAACAAGATGAGTTACACATGTGGACCAGTTGCTAGTCCGAATATAAGTTTAAAGGCGTCTAACAGATTATTAAGATATGTTCAAGGGAACATAGTCTTTCACTGGTTTCAAAATGTCCAAATGTTTTATGTTCCGAAATTTATAATTTATTGTTTAATGCTATAAATATTTTAGTCTGGCACTGTCGACAGTTTATAGCAGAACAGGAAATCCAACTTAAACTCAAGTAGAGATTCGTAAACTTGTTGCGTATACGACTTTGGTACTTAGGAAAAATCGGGTGGCACTGGAATTGTTTTCTTTTAAATCCGTGAACATGCTTCTTGTTTAACCGCAGTATTATATTAACATTTATCTAAGTAGAAATCAGATGGCACTGACGATATGTTTCTGCTGGTGAATTTGTAAACCGTGTAATAGAAGTGTGACTTGATAAATAGCTATTTAAAGTGTTTAATTTATTTCTTTGTGATTCAAGGCTTATGTCTACTTGAGCTTCTCTAATTTAATTTAAATAAATTTGTAATCCCGTCTTTTGCCATTTTACGATTGTGTAGATATAAAGTCGCTGATTTGTAAAATTGGAGACTGCTAAGATTTCACCCCGACCACTCTGACAATTTGTCAATGCGCGTATTCCAAGCACTCCATTTCTCACAATTCCAAGCACTCCAAATATTTATTATCCCAGCCAATATTTCTCACTACTCCAATCACACTTCTGTTATAACGTGTTACACGACCACCTTAGGTTTCTTAATTATCCTAATCAAATTCAAAAGTTTTATCAATTACTGTACGGGTATTACTTTCTCGCAAATGATATATCCAAAAACAAAACCACAATCTTTATAAACCATCCTTAAAGTAGCCAAGTCTCTAACTCAA